AACTGCGACTCCCTTGAGCTGCTATTCAAACTTGACCGAGGATTGTTTGCATGGTCTGATTGCTAAAACCATTGTTGAAGAGTTGACTGGAACACGTGGAGATGTCTGCGTCAGGACAGTGGAAACCGAGGAAAAAGAAGGATACCTTTGCTGTGAGCGTAGGAACAATTCTGTGTTTAGTTGTGACTTGTTATTTGAAAACAATCGCTGGGTTGAAATTGCTCTCAGATTTCTTTGGGCTTTGTCAATTGGATTCGGAATATTTGCACCACTGTTATTCAAGTATTTACCGAAAGAGTTCAAAAAGGGCCCAAGAGTAAAAGCAAGAGCAGTGTTTACCAGATTTGAATCAGAAATCTCTGAAGCTGATACATCATCATTAGATGTTGTGACGACAACTCGCCCGCGCCAGGTGCTTCTTGCATTGGATGGCGGAATGATGGACATTCTCAGGACTCAAACAGAGTCAATCTTTATTTCAAGATTATGTCGCTGTCTTTTTGTTATCTCATTAAGCTGTCTTCCAATTCTTCAAGCTTTTATATATGCTTATTTGAAAAAATCAGAAATAGGCATATCCACTGGAAAATTGCTGGGTGTTGGAGATGCATTCATCACCTTGATTGAAAGGGATGGACAGTTTGCGTTACGTGTGTCCTACTGCTTTTGCATTGGGCTTGTGTGCATTGCATTTTCAATCCCTAGAACTCTATCAGAATTTGCAAGGCGGATTTCAGGGAGGAGGGATGAACGTACATTCCTTGGGTTTAGGAAACCAGATGAAATTGTCAGCTCTTCAGACCAACGAGGGTTTCAACTCTGTTATGAAAACATGGTGTTTCATCTAAACTGTCTCCTCAAGTTCCAGTTTTGGAAGTTTGTATTTTTTGTCATCACCTACCCTTTGCAGAAATTGTTTGGGGTGGACTGGCTTGACGATGATGCTGACTTTCACAATGAAGCTTTAGAAAGTGAAGACAGACCAGGCATCTGCTCAAAGATTTGCAGAGGAATGTTTTTGCTCTTAATGTTTCCTGTGTGGGCCATAACTTTATCCACAGCGTTTCTTCTGTATATTTTTCCTGTAACCTATGTTGCCTTCCGCATTTGGAAAATGTTATTCCGAGTTGAAATTGAATCACAGTGTTGCCAAAAAATTCCTTCATTTGTCAAGATAACATCATTCCCAATTTTGTACATCGTGTTTATTATTTTTTGCATATGTGTGGAAGTTTCTTATTTCATGCTTGCTGTAACCTTCACAATCAACATCATGTTCCTGGGAAGTGTTGCTGGTTTTACAATCATGGGCCTGTTATTTTACATTGACATGTACCTACCATACATTGTCTTAGGAGCATGGGTGCTTATGTACAGTTTGAGAGGAGTGAATAAGTATTATGCACAGTTTACCAGACTGAAGGCCATTGTTTTTGAAGAGTGCGAAAAGTTTGACAATGATACCAAAGCAGAGGCCAACATTCGAGAAACTTTCAGTGGGCCCATTTTACCAGAAAGGCGATCGCCATCAACGTCTTCCCTTCCAAGGTCGAAGTCAGTCAATTTTCTTGTGACTATAGATGACTATGGTGTACCAAGTATTCCACTAGACATATTTCTTGCATCATCCCGCCAGCTTATGCCTTTCAAGCGCATCATGTTAGCAAAGCTGTTAAAGATCATTGCACTTGGAAGCTACCTTGTGGTGATATTTTTATTTGTAAGATCTCTGATTGAATTTCAAGCAGCAAGCAGTGTAGTGCAAGGATTAGCCCTCTTGCTTCTGGGTGGGTTGCCACTGCTGGCTTTCCAAAGTCAAGTTCAGGTGTCTGAGGCTGAAGAAATTAGATCAAGGTTTTATGTTAAGGAATACATTAAACAATACACCAAGAGAGCTTTGTGAGCTGGGTGCAACTTTAGTTTACCAATTAGATGTATTGTCAGCTGTCTTTGTGTGACAATAGTGATCTTGTAGCCTTGAATTAAAGGGACACAGTCAGCTGATGCACATGCACACTAGATACCATTTCTCAGCTGATTTGCATGTCACAAGATGCGTGTGAAACAGAAAGTGAGAAATGTATCCGGAATACTCAAAACAAACCTTGTAGTGTTTAACTAGGTACAAGCCCAAATCGTGATCATAGACCCTAAGCCACATGAGAGCACAAATTTTTTATATACCATTGATGATTCACCGATGGATTTGTCCAGGAAAAGCCAAACATGGACGAATACTTCTGAATTTGATCATCGGTAGAGGTAAGAATTAAATGACACAGAGTCTGCATGAATCATTGTCGAAGGTTCAAGATCGAGAAAGCTTGATTTTTCCAAACATATGTAATCTTTTCCATTGATTTTCCAAATACATATATATAAGGATTATTTGCTTGCCAATGTTATTGATTCATTTCTTTTGTTATTTTGGTAAACGAAACCAATTTGCCCTGCCCGGCGCCTACAGGTTTCTCACCTCTTCTATTCATGTTCCTTTGGACACTGTTTTTAACCAAATATCATAAAATAATGTCATAGGATGAGTTAGACTTTGCTCAAAAAGAGGTTTTCTGTAAAAGATCGAGGATCAAATGAAACACTAGGCAAGATTGAAGCGGATTTCTAGATGTAGCCGATGCGTACATTTTTGTAAAGAAAATTGTAAATAGTAATTTGTTTACCCACGGATCACTAAGGAGTTCATAAGAACTCATTGAAATGTGTCCGTGCTTTCCAGATCGAATTGGAATTTAAGGAGAGGGGAAAACCGGAGTAACCGGAGAAAAACCTCTTGGAGCAAGGGAGAGAACCAACAACCAACTCAACCCACATATGGCGGGTTGATTTCAGGTTGAGGTAAACTTTTTTCAAACCTGCAAAACTAGTGTCCAGGTCAGCCCGATCCCATAGCCGACTGTGTCCCTTTAAATTCAGACTAATTGTTTGGTAGTCATTTTAATATATTATGATTAACAGTGGCAAAAAACGTAAATGTTTGTTAAATTTTTTGATAGGTAACATGGTATGGAAGAATGCAGTAAAGTGTTAACTTCCCTGGCTTAGTTTTAGAATAACAATATAATTATACTTTCTTACTGTAAAGGGAGATTTTATGGATGCAACAGTAGCAGTAGCAAACCTGATTGCCTAATATTTAAAGAGTACATGGAAAGCAAAAAACAACAATGTACAAAAAAAAGTGCAGATTACTCAAAAGACATGAACTAAGAGTTATCTGTTGTATACAGAAAACAAACTCTCTGTTTGAAATGCCTGTGGCATCGATAACATCAGTCTATGGATATCTCAATTTTGTATTGTTATGGTATTCTTTCAATGGCATCAATTATTATTAAATAGAAAGAATAGTCTTTTTCAGACTCTTCCAGAGCCTCTTGTAGAAATGACCAACTCACTAGTAAAGAGGGCGCTGTGCCAAAAGCGCAGAGCATGAAATTTTCGCATGTTAAAAAAAGTGAGTCCAGTTAATAAGTAACAGGAGTATTATTTTCTAAATTTGATACATATTTGGTATTTTTGAATTAGCATACATTCTCATATTCTCAAATGATTGTTTAATTAGTATTGGTTTAGATAACTTAAGTGCTTCAATTTGTCATGAAAGGCCCACGTTTATCTTGCATGCTTTGTGAAAACTCTTATATTTTATTTTTTGAGAAGCTTCCATTGTTCAACATTCAGTGATCTGATTGGTTGGTGTGTTATAAAGACTGCTTCTTGGTGTGTGACGCTTCTTGGTATTTTCCGCATTTCTCTCAAAAAAGCCTGCTTTTGTCCAGTGAATAGTGCTGAACTAATATTTAAAAATCTTACTGTGAGGAAATTCTTCAGAGGAGGGGGGTCTTGAAGGCCAAAATTTACTTTTTAAAAGGCAAGTGTGTATCTAAAATCATGATATTAATTTTTATGGGGTGAGTGAAATAAATGACAAGTAATACCGTCAACATGGAACAAGAGGGGTGGGGGGGGGGGGGGTGGTAGAACCCCTCCCCTGTTTTTGATATGTTGCAGTATTATGAAAAGATTTTGCTTTCAGTGAAGAGGCTTTCATCTTCTCGTCAAAATGAGGTATATATGGGTGATGGCGTTACTGGGTACTTGTGATGTCACCAAACATGGTTGCCATCTTGGCTGCGATCTTGGATTTTACCCAATTGGTAATTTTTTGTGCTTGACATGTAAAATGACACATAAATTAGTACTTTGCTTCATTTTATCTACAGACTTTGTTTTTATTGTTAAGAAAGGTTGAAAACATGCATTAATTTTCACTGAAAAATGGCTGAATCACCCACTACTTATGACATCATATCTAATAACCATTGTAACTGTTCGCCACCAAACTTAACTCAAAATGCGTGTGAAGGATAAGCGAACAGTTACTGAAAATGTCAGGTGGTCATGTTTGATCATCTAGGAAAAATCGCAAAAAAACCTCAGAGGGAGGTGGCATCCACCCCCTTGTGTGTCCAAGGCTTGAGCCAAAGAAAACCTTTATTGGGGGAGTATATCTATTTTCTGGAACATAGTTTAACTGTGCCTTTACCAAATGATTGTTAAAAATGAATTACTTTATAGCAGAAAATGGCGTTCGATGGCTATTAATGAGTAATGAGTTATGCAGGGTGTAATTAAGAAGCATTTATTTTTGATATTTTTGTAATAATTTAGTCATTAAATGAGCTATTAGATAATATAAAGGATCAAAGTCAAGCATTTCATAGTTTATGACATTCTTAATAGACATTAATAGAGAAATATTTTGAATTGATAATTAGTTATGGTAATTTGATTGAGTGGAGAACAATTGGGTCTGTTATCATATGAGTGATTAAAATAGTCAGACGATTGTATACAGGGAGTCTGATTTGTTTGATCACCAGTATGATTACAGGCCGAATTGGACATGAAGTTCTGTTACTGATTAATCATAACTATAACAAAATTGGTGATATTTTAGGCTTTTTTAAAATTAAAACACGAGAAATTCTGAGTTTTTTTTTTGCTGGCAGTGAAAAAAAGCCATTTTAGTGTGCATGTGCCATGGCGCGTACTGCCCAATTAGTTAGGCATAACGCTTACTGTCCTATTACACTGTCCTTTTTAGTGCTGAAAATCAGGACAGTTAAGAGCCAATCAGATTTGATAATTTTGTTATAGTTATGATTAATAATGGTTAATAATAGTTATATTGAAACAAAATAAAACAATAGAGAGAGTGTCTAATGTTAATGTTGTCTGTTGTCTGTGAGCCTAAGAAAATGGCCCATATTTTGCACCACTGGTTTCCCCATGAAATGATGTCTGAGAAACCAATGCAGAAATTCCATACTAATTACGTCATGACATCACTGCCCCGATTGATCTGTGTCATGCTCCTCATTGGTCATGCTGCAAAGGAAATTTGCTTAAACCAATCAGAAGCACAAACCAGATCTGGATAGTGACATTAGTTGTCTAAGAAATTTCTGTAGTCATTCTTTGGATGTGATTTCATGGGGAAGCTGGTAGTTGTCAGTTGGAGATGTTAGAACAGTACCAGCTGTTATGCATGCATGGTTCTTCCCTTTTGCACAAAAATACCCTCACTTTCCCCTTTTAATCACTTCTCAGGGAGGACTGAAGACCAGGTACAAGAGTGGTAGAAACTTTGAATTAGAAAATTGACATTTGGGCGTTTTAGAATATCATTGGTTCTGGATCCTTAGGGGTAGAAGTTTATTTGAACCAGCATTATGATCTGTTACCTTTTACTGGAATAGATGGGGGAGCAGGAGGGAGGGGGAGCTCGACTGGTCGGGTACTGAGAAGCAAAATTTTGTGATTTTTATAGGCGGCTAGCCATTTCGGCATGGAATAAATAATTGTGTGTTAGAGTGGGTACCAATAATTTGATAAAATGGGTTATCAGCCAATCCTGCCACCAAGCAGTGTTTATGCATCAGTCAATGCCACCTGTGCCCAACCCCCCCCCCCCCGGCTGACCCCCGGGCATTAGCATTTTTTTTGCCTTGGATGGCAAATTCCCGGGGGTGGGGACTCTTGAGCTGTCAAATCCCCCGGGGTGGGGACGAAAAAAGAGGGCAAATGCCTCTTCCTCCGTCAACACTGCAACATTTTTCATTGATCGCACAGTCAAATAGTGCCATTTTAAGCATTTTAATGTGCGATTTTTTGTTTCAATTAACGTCTTCCTTTGTAATAGCGCTAGGATTCTAATTAAGACTTCACGCCGCGACGACATGCACCAGTTTATGGTTTTAGTATTGATATAAAATTATTGACATTAAAATTAAAAAAACGCTGTAATGTTATATGTTATGAATAGTTTTATAAATATGAAAGGATGTTCCTCAAATAATATCAACAGAAATTTGATTCAATCAGGGGCACCCAACGAGGATATAGTTCAAAACCACTAAACATAGCATTGTTGAACGTAGTTTAGTATTCAAACGGTAGATATAGGCATATGTTCACTATCCCCTAAAAACTTTTCATCTGTTCGGATTTCCTAGCTGAAAGTCGAGTGATCCGAAAATTATAGGGATAAAAACTTACCTTCTCGAAAACTTTAGCCAGGAAAAGGCTCCCGAAAATTCTAGGTGGCCTTTTTTAGGATCAAAATCCGTTAAAAATGGGTAGTTATACCATTTTGTCGATGTTCGAAAATCCTAGGAGAGGCAGGCAAGCAAGAAATTTTACAACAAATGCTCCGAAAATTCTAGATCTCAAATCGTCTTCCGAACAGATATTTTCCCGAAAATTGCCGTTGGGTGCCCCTGTTCAATAACCAAAAAACGTTGATTCACATCGATAGCTCCAATTTCGCTACATAATCCTGGCTTTATAAGCAATGAGGAAATGCAACATACATGTAAAATCGAGAACATGCCTTTACAACCCTCTACAATTTATTCCTGTCCTTTACAGACGAGCCAATCTGCTTTTTTTTCCAGTAAAACCTTTTTTGTGGTTATATTCTGATGGGAAACCGCGTGCGTGTCAAAAGCTCGGGAATGGCCTGGGGGTTGGCAAATGCCCGGCCCCCGGGCAGTGCAAAATTTGCAAATGCCCCCCCCCCGGGACTGACACAGTTGCCCGGGGGGGGGGGGGCTGGGCACAGGTGGAATTGACTGATGCATTAGCTTAAGGAATCTCAATTAGTACTCACCTTGAGATAATCATACTTTACTTTAAATGAGTATTTGGCTTTTAAAAGTTATATTTTTTCTTGAAATATGTCACAATTTTATAGACCCTAATTGAAATAATAGTGCTGGAAGGAAATAAATTAACATAAATTATGAAAACTGGTGTAGGGGTAATTTAGAGGAAATAAGTCCATTATAAGCAATCTGAGTATAATCAGTATGCTTCAAATTTCTTTTTTACGAAGTCAATGTCTTAAATATTTGTCTGATTTGTATGCATTTCCTCTTTTTGTCGCGAGCATGATCCGCTGGATGAGGCCTGGGTTCGAGGTAGTTTACGAGGACGTCTCGAGGAGGACGTCCCTAAAAAGGCGCGGAGTTTTGAACATCATGATTGTTTCTCGCTGAGTGTTCATTCGCCTTGAGGGACAGTAGTTATGGGTGTTCACCAACTTTGGAACATACTTGAGCCAGTAAGGAGAAAGGAAAACCTCTCTACGCTGAGCAACAAGACATTGTGTGTTGATTTGAGCGGTTGGATATGCGAGGCGAAGTGTGCTAAAGGTCTGAAAGAAAATGTCAACAAACCGCATTTAAGAAACCTCTTCTTTCGATTGCTGTATTTGACTCGTCTAGGAGCCAAACTGGTATTTGTTGTGGATGGTAAACCACCTGAACTGAAGTGGAAAGCCATAACAAAGCGAGTTCAGGCAAGAAATGGCGGGCGAAATTGGAAGTCGAAAAACACACAATCATCTGCTTCGGGAGCACGGGTTGGACGGTCACACTTCGATTTCTGGGTTAAAGAGGTAATTAACTACTTTGTAAGCAGGTCGATCTTATTCCTACGTATAATTCGACTAGTAATGAACGTTTGTTTTAGCTTTCTTGTCTCGGCCTCAACCCGGGTGTAATTTGAGAACTGGGAAATAGCAGGGTGTTCCGGGAACGTTGGTTTTTGAATAAGGGGGGATTTATTATTCAAAGGAGCCGAGAAAATTGGAACCCTTTGCACAAATTTTTCAAAGGTGCCGACAAAAAATGAACCCTTCGAATTTCAGGATGTCGACAAAATTTGAGGGTTCGGATTCCAGTCATCCTTAGTGAGGGGTTGGTGTAGATAAAAATGGAATGTCCAGGCTATTGGGGTGCAGGTAGTAACCAGGACGGAAAATTGGACATTCCAAACTGACCCATTTTCAGCTCTGTGGTGTGTTACAAAATTGAAGTGAATTGCCACACATTGCGGGTCCTACAAAGTAATAAAGAATGGTTTTTTAAGGGCAATTTGTTTTGGTCTTTGTGGGAGATTTTCCAATGTAGAGCACGTTCGAGCTGTCCTATATACTTCTTTATAGAAAAACATATTATGCAGGAATTGAAAATCTTCCAAAGGAGGTTATAGCTCAACTCTACCCCACACCCCACATAAGCACTCTGTACTCTGATTTTGTTGTAGGCATTTAATTCAGTCATGACTAACTCACTGTCACAGCCATAGAGGGGATTATGACCCCCCCCCCCCACCCCCTAGCCTACTTTGTTGCTACAAGAAATGATTTTTCGGAAATTCCATGCCAAGTGAATCAAATGTATTTTGTTATTCAGTGCTGTACTCTCCTGAACCTCTTGGGAATACCTTGTATCAAGAGTGCAGGGGAAGCAGAAGCACTCTGTGCATGGCTTGATCTTCATCAGGTGAAAGAATTTTTTGCTTAAATTATAAAAGCTTCGTAATGTTAATGTTGTGGTTAATTTTTTTAGCTCAGGTAATTTTTTTTTTACTTTTGTTTCAACTTCATTAGCATACATTACCATACCCAAAAACAAAAGAAAAACAAAAATTACCTGAGATAAAAAATTAACTACAACATAAACATGACTAACACTTTTGTGTCAATTAAAGCACAGTACGTTATTTTATTATTACAATATCATGTAGCAAAAACAAAACAGCAACAAAAAATAAGCATTCACTAATTACTGATGGTTGAGATCATGTGACTTTTTAGTCACCTAATCTCAGAAGAACAGGAAAAACCTTCCTTGAAATGCTGATCAAGCTGGTTCCTTGAACTCTCGAGATTACTTGTCGATGAGCAGATGTAGGGCCCAGGGGTCACCTTGTCTCCATCTTCAGTTCCGATGCTATAATTTCTTATAAAAAGAACTGAATGAAATTGCTAGTGTGACTCAAAATCTAGTAATCACTCTGACCAAGGAAGTTTCAATCCATTTATTTACTTGAAGAGTTACATGTATCACACGTGAGGGTTGAAGGGTTGAAGCAGAGTTGAGGCAGAAGAGATTTTGACACTCAAAAAATTATATGTTAGATTGTTGATGGCTGCATAACCAACGATGGGGATGCATTTCTATATGGTGCAAGAACTGTTTACAGAGATCTCTGCATTAGTGGAAAGGTACGACATTAATCTTAGCAACAGTTTGTTAATGTGGCTAAATGAAACAAGGTTAAACATATACAATACTGGTCAGCGGTCTCCACCACTAATAGTATGTGGGGTGGTCTTGAACTTTAGCAGGGCTTTAGTAATTTTACAGCACTTTTGGAGATAATTTTGCTCACATTGCCTTTGCCTACAGTAGCTTTAGCTGTTTTTGCCCCCAGCCCCCACCCCCACCCCTTTGGATGTTTTTCTTCATTGGTAAGTATCTGCCTGGTGAGTGTTGCTCACAGGGTTGTCATGGTTACCTTCTAGGGTCGCTTGCCCTTTGGCTTCACCTGTCACCTTCCACATGCCAGTCTATCATCAATGGGTTTAAATATGGGTTGGAGGATACATGTAACCGTGACAACCTGGTTAGATCTCAGGGGTCCCTGCAAACCAACCTACTAACATAATTACCAGGCAATAACATGTATTGTTTTCCCTATGTGTAAATGAGTTGATTTGCTTTGAGGTTTGTACATGCACCTAGCCCATAAATTTCATTTCTTGAATTATTCACAATAAAATTATCAATACAGTTGTAGGAGTTAATTTTCTTCTCCCCATGCTGGATTTGAAGATTATGATTTTAGTTCAGTTTCTAAAGAAAAACAGGTGGGGATGTCATCATTGCTTCATAGTGACAAATGAGGCAGAACATTCTATGACAAGACAAATCTTCTATTTTTGATTGATAGAGTGATGCAAAACACCACAGAAAGACAACTAAACATTGTTGAATTTTCAATAATCCTATTAAATGTATGCAGTCTAATAGTACATTATGCATGCATGATACTGTTTTTTCAGTTGATAGTCTGAAATTAGTTATGAATGCAGGTCACTTTGTTTCTTTAGGATGCCTCTGTAGAATGCTACAAAATGGATGATATAGAGGCTGAGCTAAGTATGGCAATGTTAAAATTGTTGCAGTATATGAACATTGATCATATTTTTAAATTTCACTTTTCTACTAGCCTGTGAATGCAGACATATTTGTGGTCGTTGCTTCTCTCCACCCAAAAGGTAACTTTTCAGGTAGAGAGAAGCGAAAACTGGAGATACATCAGCGTTTGCAAGCTACTTTTCGAAAAGTGACAGCCATTAACATACCTCATCACTAGTCACAAGTCCCAAAAACAAAATGCCAGTCAAGGCAGTGTCATAAGACAAGTGGTATAAGTTTGATTTACACAATTTGACTCGATTTTGCGGGCTTCACATTGAAGTACAGGAACAATTTTTTGATAAGCAACAAAGTTTCACCAGCCTGTCTTTGTGAAAAAATGGCCTTAATGTTGTAAATTTAATATAATTTGTAGACCTCAACAGGCAGAATCTTGTCGCGCTTGGGGTTCTCCTCGGGTGTGATTACCTTCCTCAAGGAGTGTCAGGTGTCGGAAAAGAAATTGCCATGAAACTGATTAGAAATGTCAAGCATGACAACTTGATTGACAGGTAACTCTGATTCTGCCTAACTTTTATTCTTGAAAACAATTTAAATATTTATTTGCTTTTAAAAAAGTTATCCAAGTTTGATGCTTAAGTATAGATATTATGCAGGTGTATTGATGTTCATTTTAGTAACGTGTACAAGAAGTTGCTTGAGTGCAGTACTGATATTTCTGGTTTTTTTTTGTGCGATATTATGCAGGTGTATTGATGTTCATTTTAGTAACGTGTACAAGAAGTTGCTTGAGTGCAGTACTGATATTTCTGGTTTTTTTTGTGCTCTGCATTCGTACATAAGGTACATTAGTTAGCAGAGTGATGATAGCAATCAAGATTTTTCTTTGCTGCTTTGAAAGCAGAATTGCCATACATATGTACAGTCTGCCATTTCTGTGACAGTGTTAAATATTATCAAAGATGGAAACTTTTCAATTCTGCAGATCATATACATAAATTTTGCTAATCATGTTTTACATATTTGTCTTTTGTCTACTCTTTGTTCCATTGTCAAGGTTTTTTAAATGGGCAAAAGGGACGTGTCAAGATGAAAATCTCTCAAGTGTGGAGAAATCTGTCAAATGGTAAATAATGAGATCTGTGTTTAATCTAAAGATTTCTCATATGACTCATAATGTTAGGTATTAGTTCAATTGTTTACATTTGAATTAAAAAATCTGCAGTACAGCTAGTGGTAATACAATGTACCTGTTTCGCCCCAAGTAAGGGAATCCAAGACATTCTTGGATTCTGGATTCCACGCAGTGGAGTCCGGATTGCTATTACTGGATTCCAGTCTTTGTCAGTGGAACTTGGATTCTGGATTCCAATCGTCAGTTGGATTCCGGATTCCTACAACTGTATTCCGGATTACAAGGCCCAAGATTCGGAATTCCACAAGCAAAAATTTCCCGGATTCTGGAATCCATATTCCCTTATGTGGGGCAAAGCTGTAAATATTGTTTGCTGCTCAGGTAGAGACATGTTTAACAATATTTCCTACCTTTGAGACAGAGTATTTCCTTTAATTAGCAGCCAGGCTAAGATCTTATTCAAAGGTGCAGTACTTGTACAGCATACCCCAAGGATTACAGAAGTTGTGGTCATTTTAAATTAGGTGTCAATGGTAAAAACCAAGGACAGTGCTATAATTTAGTTTTGAAGTGAAGAGCTATTATAGCAACTCTTTCAACTGCTCCACTCAAGCTGTCATTAGGGAGCAGCAATGTTTTTGAGCGACGCATGTCAACTAGAAGTTAACCTTTTCCAATGTGCCTTGATGCTACCAAATTTGTATTGCTAAATGTTTTTGCTCTTAAAGAGATGATTTGCCCAAGAATTTGTTCAAAATTGAAAGAAAAAGACGATTTGCCCAAGAATTTGTCAAAAAATCACTGCTGAAGATTTCCTATAGGCTACTAAAAGTCCACTTAATATTTCATGGAAAAACATTCAAATAGACCCAAATAGAACTTCCAAACTGTTCAATTCCCCGCTTTCTAATTTTTTATACCTGGCAACAATAAATCTTAGTGGTGAATAACTGTTTCATTTATTTGTTTACAGATAACAATAACACAACATTGTGTATCAAAATTTCAATTTGCAAACCAATTTTAGGGTTAGGAGAGGTGCTACATGACCCTCTCATTCACCTAACCTTTTTTACTCTACAGCAAAGCTTTGAAGGACAAGAACTTTCCTCATCCTGAGGTAACGCTCCCATTGTCTTAATATTATTGGACTTTTTGGTTTTGAGTAGTTTAGGTAGAAGTTTTTTCTTTCATTTCTTATATCACATTCAGGTGATTCAGGAATTTCTGGATCCTAAAGTTGTACCTCAGAAAGTTTCTCTTAAGATTATGAATCCAGATCTACAGGGACTGCAGGTAAAGACTAATTTATCTTTATTTTACTGTTGAGTACACTCTTCTGTTTCTCTTCCTTGGTACTGTTAGAGTACCAAATTAATGGTAGAGAATTTGCAATAAGGGCTTTATAAGGATTTTGCACTTGCATGAGTAAGATAAGACCCTAAAAGACTGTAATGAAAATGAAATATCCTAAAATGGGTTAAAAAAAAGAAAAAGAAAATTAGCACTTGTCTCGTGAATTTTGAATTTTGAACATGACTCACAAAGTCAAATTTTAAAGGAATGTCATTCATTTCCATTATCAGAAGCCAGCCATGAAAATATACCATTTTGGTAAAAGCTGTCCTAAATTTCAGGCTTCTAGGAGTTTTTGTGATTGGCGGTTTGAAGTTGTAAGAGAAGAATTTACCAAAGAGGGTAATTAAGAAATTATTTTCAAATGGTTAAGTTATATTCAGCCCAGAGACCAGATATTCCCCTTGCTACTACTCCAATGAGAACTAAGAGAAAAATTGAAACTAAACTCCAACTATAGATTTTTTTAAGAGGGAACTGATAAAGTAGGAGGTTCTTCAGCAAAAAGGTGTCAAAACAAAAAAATAGACTTAAAACATACTAAACAATTCCCTTCTATTGAGAACCCTGTTCAATTTCCCCTACTATTAAATATGTATATGCTAGTCAACATGAAATCTTAGTGACAGCCTTGGTCAACGAGTGCTGTGTCAAACTCATTGTAATAATCAGAGCAATTTCTGTCAATTCTTTTGTTTAAAGGAATTTTGTCTGAAGAATTTAGAATGGCCAGAAGAGTACACCAGAGAAAAGGTATAAAATTTGAGAAAGACACCTAACTAACAGTGTTTAGCTTTTGAAAAAAAAGAAGAAAAGTTGTTTAGTTTTCTTTTTCTGCTATGAGTCTCATGTTAAGTGTACATTCTCATCTGCGACTTTCATGTTTCAAGTTTTGTTTCAAGGGAAGATTGTTAGTCGAGAGAAAATTGAAAACAATATTTATGCAACATTTTGTGGAGAAAACAAATTACATTAAGGAGAACGTGAAAGGCGCAAATGGAGAACCACTAAATAAGCGCCCATTCACCTTGGTCAATAACCTACTTCATACTGATGATATCAAATGGACAGCTTTCTTCTTTTCTCGCTGTTAAAATTTTTAAACTTTCATCTCTAGTGTTTCTCTGATTTATAATTGCATGTTAGTAATGCATCATATGATCTTATATCCTTGAAGGTTCTTCTGTTAATCACCTACTGGCAAATGACATCATCACTGCAGCAATCCACTGAAACACTAGTTCATCCTCAAAGGTGAGTGTCCAGAAGATGGTGTTAATTCTTCATAAAGAACTAGTGATGGTGTCAGACCAATGGACTGAAAAAGCCCAAACACGTGAAGCTGGAGGTCATGCACCCAATGATCAAAAGCAAATCCAAATTTCCAGCCTGTGAATAAACCATACTGGGTCAATTCAGATGCATGAAGTGTTACAACCAAGATTACTTAATACAGTCTATCAATTATTACTTGAGTTAAGAGGAATAAGGGGAGGAAAGGGGGTTCTTAGGAGACAAGGAAAAAGGGAGGGGGCCTTTAATTTGAGAGGGGGGGCTATATGTAGAGGTTTGATGGTACTTCCACTTGCAAACCGCGATTGGATTAATCTCTGTTTGAATGGCAAAAAATGTCAGGGGCGGGGATACAGGGGTTGAGCGGATCCAGATGGCGTTGACAAAACCTGAATCCGCTTAATTAACCCTCACGTAACCCTTCAAAAATTATTTCATGAAGTGAGTACCAAATCGCCGAACCACTGTTAGTACTGATTTTTTTAAAAAAAGAAACTGCATAAACTCCAGCCTATTCATCATAAATTACCATCAACTGATGAGATACAACTCGCTTTGACTCTGAAGATGACTACCGCACAGGTTGTTACTGTCAGTAACAGTTCTTAATTCAGGATTACACATACCCGGACGATCAAATTCCATCTACTTATGAAATGTTACCCTTGCGAGTTCCAGTGTTGCAAATTATACAGTCGAGCCTCCGCTAACAGCCACCTCTCTACAACGGCCTGTTTTTTTCGTCCTGGCGGACAAAAAATCCATACATTGACCCTTGTTTAAAACCTCCATACAACGGCCACCTCTTTACAACGGCCACTTTCGTTTGTCCCCAAGGTGGCCGTTGTAAAGAGGTTCAGCTGTATATGGTGAGACCTTTAAAATCATGTAACATTACATTGTTTTTCACAGGATCGTGAAAGCTCGAGTCCAGCAGAAGATCGAATGTTATGAGATTGAATGGCAAAATGTATCACTAGGTGAAACGTGTTCTCCTACATTTGTCACTATCGAGACTAGAGAGGTATACAAAATGACTATTTATTTATTTATTTATTGGTTGTAAAACAGCGTGGGTTTCGATATGGTGGAAGCTTTCGTAAAAAACATCCAATTCGTGGGTATGGTTTAGGGAGATATGAATTGCATTATTTTTGAAGGTAGCAGGGATCAACTTTGAAAAACTGTTAGGCTGTGTAGCTATCTGTTGTGTTATTTTAACCTTCCTTTAATGTTTTGGGACCATAAATTTAATTTCAAGGCTTTAAAAGAGGATGAAAAGGAGCATGAGCAAATTTATTCTGAGGACTTATTCAACAGTCTTGCTTTGGGGGAACCAAATACAGCTCTGTCTTGAGTATTGAGGGAAAGTAGTGTTCGAGGGACTATTAATGAATGAAGTGATTCTTATTACAATATTTGCCAATCTGTAATAGAGAAGCATCAGTAAGGGAAGAGTATATACCTAAAACCCTTGCGTTGAATTTTTTTCAGCTTTTCACTAACGTCTATCCTGACCTTGTGGAAGAATTCAACAATGCGGAAGCAGCAAAACTGTCTAAAAAGTCAAGTAAGCGTACACGATATAATCTTTCTTATTGTAAAGAAAACGTACATGTCAATGTTCAGATCAGGATCTGCTCTGGTACGCTCTAATAACAATTAATTTGCAAGTTCTTGACGCGAGGCTCGGTAACCATTTTAGTTTAATCAAGCTTTAACTGATAACGAAAAAAAGTCGCGAAATGACGTCCGAGAAACGAGCGTAGAAATTCTTTACTTATTACGCTTCTTATTGGTTGAATATTTGTTTCATCCAATCAGAAGCACTACTCATATCTGGAGAGTGACGCGTCACGAGTATGGAATTACTGCGCTCGTTTCTCAGACGTCAGTCATCGCGCGGAAACCAGTGCATGGTGGCGTCGCAAAATGGCGGCTGTTTTTTCAGGCTACGAAGAGACCCGCCTGGGGAATATTCTCCTTTGTAAGAGGCTTTCTTACCCGGACCTATCCATCTCGTTTTTGTCGGGAAAACGTTACGATCCGATGTATGTGTTAACTACGTTTTCTAGTTCTAAACTATTGTCGTTTAAGTCATACGAGACCATTTTCAGCATACGTTCAAGCCCTAGTTTTTCACAAGGTGGATAACGCTATCTATTTGATAAATCTATATCCAGGCGATAACCCAGTTGGTTTCTCTAATACTTCTATCTGGCTAGTGATTTGAACAACCGGGGCCTTGCCTTGTGTAGAGTAGGCAGTCATGTAAGAATGACAAATGTTGCCAACGGATGTCTGTAAGCGTCAAAAACTATGGTGGCTGTTTGTGTTTTATTTGAACAACACTGTTGGGCCTTGCCATAGAGCCTCCAGTAGTAGCGCAGGGCACCCAACGACAAGAAAATATCTGTTCAGAAGACGATTTGAGATCAAATTGTCGGAACATTTGCTGTAAAACGGATGTCTAGGATTTGCGAATATCTGAAAAATGGTATATAAAAGGGTGGCTGTTTGTGTTTTATCTATAATTTTGACCAACACTAGGAAATCCGAACAGATGAAAAAACACTGTTGCATCGTTATCTACCGTTTAAATACTAAAATACGTTTAACAAGTATGTTTCAGTGGTTTAGAGCGTCCGAACCAGAATTAGGAGGGTCGTGAGTTCGATTCTCACCTGGAGCTCGACATGTTTTCAGAGTTGCTGGTGTTAGAATTCTCCTTCTTCCAAAATTTATTTGTTGTTGTCTTGGTCATTACAGGGAAAAAGAAGCCTGACAAGCCATCAAAGAAAACCCACGACTGTGAAGATGAAGTGAATCTATTGTCACAGCAACTGCAAGATTTAAGTGTCCAATACTCAGACCGTGGCACACGTCATGGCTCTGTTGCTCATGAGGAGCCTGCTAAACAAGAAGTCGATGAAGATGAATCTCTTCAAGACATAATAGATTCAATACTTCCAAACACCTTTGATCATGACTCATCTTCCCCGGAATGTTCTGCCGAATGTTCTAGCCCTTACGTAGGCATGATTGACAGAAACTTCTTGGCTGCCAGTAAAAGATGGCAGGAAATTGATAACGATGAAGACGATGATTATGACCTTGTCAGAAATGACGACCAGGATGTCAATGATGATTATGAGGTTGATGATATTCCTTGTGATTACCAGCCTGTACGTATGGTTATGGCTCCTAAGCTGGGTAACAAAGAGTTCACGAAGCCAGATGATTATTCGTCTTATCCTGGTGTTATTGATCGTGAAGATGATTTTCTGAAATGTGGGCTATCAAAGTTGAAAGATATGAAAATCAGAGCAGGTTACACAGCTGTAGATGTACTGGACCACAGTCAAGATAATAACGTCACTGATGACGACAGTGAAGACTACGATCATGAAGGAAGAGTCATTAATGTCAGTAAACTACCGTCACCTGATATACCACCATGCAGGACAACAGCTGCAAAACCCATTACACATCTTGAATGCGTAGTTGTGATTGATTCAAGTGATGAAGACATTGTTGTTTCTGGAAAAGAGCGTAAAGTCCTGAAAAAGAACGTGAGAGCGTCCAAGACAAAGCAGGTTCTGCTAAATGACTCGGATCTCAAGCAGATCTTTGGCTCAAGCGATCTTTGGTCCAGTGATGATGACGAAGAGGAAAATGAAAATCGAGATGTCGAAAATTTTGCCCTTACCAGAAAAGCATCTGGAATAAACAAGACTGCTTCATCGACCGCAAAACTCAATTATAACCATGCCTTAGGAAAGCCAAGTGCCTCTCTCTGTAAGAAATCAACAGAGTTAGATTCATGCCCAAGTTTGTCCCATCAGACTAAATTAGAAGATTGCCGGGATATGCAGTCAAATAGTTTACGGAATAGGCCTTATGTGAAAACAGTTTCAAGCAGTGATAATGTCTATGCAGCAAGAGTTGAAAGAGTCAAGGAAAAATCTGCGGAGGGCATCAGCAAACGAGTTCTTTTGCCAACGAATACAAACCAAAGCATTTCAGGTAGCCCAACAAGTGACAGACTGGACGACATTAACACTCATATGAACTCTAACGATGGGGCACAAAAAGGAAACGTTGGTTCTCCGGCAGAAAAAGAGAACGTTGATTCTCCACCGGATGATTCTGTACCTGCTCCACTGTTCACAAGACTCCGCCAGAATTTCACTGCCAAACACAGGTTGGCAAGTCTGCGCTCTATTTCTTCTGCTACATATGAATAATGAAAACAGTTATGTTATTGATAGCCAAGAAACTTCGGAATGTTGATCTACAATGTATCTTGTTGTAAAAGTTCACTATTGAGAAGGGTTCGATGATTCCATTGAGATTTGCAATAATTTTATCTGAATATAGCAAAAGAAACAATGTAAATACATGAAATAAGAACCAAATGTTGCTATTATGAATACCATGAAGTATAACTATGATAAAGTTTGTCACAATTTAAGAGAAGTTTTCTTACAGCCCGGTTTAAAGTGAAGTATCAGCGTTTCCAGTCTTTGGGCATTAGCACCACCTTCCTTATAACTGTAAGGCAAAAACGTGTTAAACAATCTCCCTTGGCGGAAGCGTTTTTCATTTGCAGTTCAGCCCCGGTTGTTCGAACGTTGGATAGCGCTATCCACTGGATAAATCACTATCCAGCGGATAAGTATTAGGGAAACCAATTACGCTAACCGGTGGATAGCGCTATCCAACGTTTGAACAAAATAAGGGGATGTTACATTTACAATTCGCATAGAAGATTTTTAGCGCAACTTATCTTCTGCGCCAGCCTGAATTTAAGCCGTCTCCTTGAGCCCCAAACTGTCGTCTCTCTCGGGATTTTGCGACTCGAGAAAGACAACAGAAAATTCAGGCTACGATTCAGCATTGTCAGTTTCAAAATTGCTTCGAGCTGTCACAACATTGTTCCAACATTGCTGCTCTAAAAATCGTCGTCACAAATTGTCCCTTGTTAAATGCGTAGAAAATACATAACTGAATAATTTAATAATAAATAAAATTAATGTGAATGCAAGCTAAGATTTTTTCTGATATTTAGTCCTGTAAATCGCCAGGGTTTGCGGACCCGCAATAGCAACCTACTCCGTTATCCATTTTTACTGGAGAAAACAATGTATTAAAGTATTCCATATGAAGTAAAATGTCACCTTTTTAATTTACCACGGTGGTCGCTTTCTGTAGTAGGGATGGATACAGTAAAAAAACAACTTTAACGCTCCACGCAAAGTTCTTCCAATCAAAGTAATATATGTGGAGCGAAATTTTACCCGATTAAACTCCTCTTACACGCAGTGATGGTTGGTTTAGTTTATTTACCTGTCTCATGCTTAATTTCACGCGTGCTTGTATCGCGATTTTGGCGAGACAGTATTATGCGAAGCTTTATTTTCGTGAGTCCGTTAGAGAAAGGAGAAAATTAAAGAGGGCGTTAAATTTCGCGAAAGCGTTGTCAATATAGTTTAAATTTCTACAAAACTTTTCAGCTTTCTATACAAACTGAAACAGATGAAAATGACAGATTCTCTGCTCGATATGTTTCAATGTAAAATCTTAGAAAAGTAAAAGGAAAGTTAATCTCAAGACAACTTGCCAAATAGAGCTTATACCGCTGAATAAAATATGTCGGTACATAAGCTTTAAGCTCATCCGCGTACTGATAATCTCTCTTCCCCTGTTTATAGTCTCACTTGTCTTGAAACCCCTTACGAAAACTGGCGCACATATGTGGAATTCCTGTTATCAACCTTATATCAAATAAAGCACTGTTAAGAAAAATCATATATTCGAACTTCCATGTGCGACCACCGTTTGTAGGCGACCTTGTAGCAGTCAAGTCTGTGTAATACGACGCTGCTCAAACCTGTTAAAGTCTATATTTCTTTTTAGTTTACTACGATGTTCGCATGATTGATGTTTGCTGTCAGTACTACGCAACTCAGACACCGAGTTTTGGTCCAGGTACTTGCCGACTGTTTTCAGCGTGCTTACAAATTTTATTATGTTGTTTATAAAGGTGGCTCGACTTGATTTTTGGAGGAGTATACGCCCCCACTTTGAGCGTTAACCACGTGGGCATTAACAAAGATATTGGAAAAAGGTTACCACAGCTGCACTGTATAAAAATGAAAATTTGTTATGATCCATGTTTTATTGGCATCAGAGTTACCATGGCAACATCATGACGCCATTACGTTTTTACTTACCTTTATATTTCTCGGCATTAGGGGTCTTTTTCAGAAATCGCTTAAGGAGCTTGTACTTCTTTTAGTTGCCTCGGTTGTGGCAAGGTTTGAACAAATTCTATGAGAGCGTTTTGGAAACATTTTGAAACAAAGTTTCAAGCGTCATAAAAACAGTAAATAAACATACCATCGACATATATAATTAGCTAATATCTAAAGGAAATGATGAGGTCTGGAAATGCAGTTTACCCCATAGTGGGAATCTCATAGTGGGTTGATTTCATCTGAAACGAGGGGTATTGCTTCGGCCAAATGCGAGAAGGAAGAATTTGATTGGCCTACCGTTCGGCTGCCTGTTTATTGATTTATTTTACATTGGTATGCCTGTGGTGCCGACGAACGGGTGGACTTACGGTCACGTGATCACCAAAATTTCTCGGATGGGTAGATTACCACATTTTCTTAAGTATGGGGCTACGCTCGAGCGCGCAAGGCGCGCGTGGAGCTCCGCTATGAATGTCTTCTGTCATTATCCTTTTTTACAGAACATGGGCAGGATTTCGGTAGTATTAGGAAGTACCGGATGCAGAGTTCGTGCCGCAGGCTTGGGCGGGGGATCCGGGGGTATGTTCCCAATAGAAATTTCTAAAATTGGACTCTCTTTAAATACAATTTCTTGCGTTCCGTGGATCGGAATTGGTTAAGCGGGAAGGTCTTTAAGGTACTAAAAAATGCTCTCAAAAATGAAATATCTGATTTGGCAGTCATGATTATCGGTTTGCAGTTGTTCGTTCTTTTAGTTGATTCCAAAACGAATTCCAACCGGGAAGAATCAACGAATCCCGATGACAGATGGTTTATAGACGGTAATTTAAATGTCCAGTTCAGTTGTTGCATAATTGGCTCATCAGAAAAAGTCAGTTAACTTAAGCTCTATCAGTGAAAATCTTTTTTTCAAAAAAAAAAATTATTTCGTGTGAATTACCAGACGTTACCTCGTGTGAAACAACCGGACATTGCGTCCGGCTTGAAACGAAACCCATGCATGTGACTTTCTACCCTTAAAAGGAGGCAGCTCTTCTAAGACATTTGTCTTCAGTGTTGTTAAACGGGAATAAAGTAATTTCGTCCAGTTTTTGAACAAGGGTTCCATGGTTGAAAGCCACTTTAACAATTTCAGTTTTTCAAGTACGAAAATTAAGAAAGTTGTCCATGCGACTCTAAGGTTATAATTGGTTTATTCTCAAAGCTAAGGGGGAATATTGCGCATTTCGGTCAAACACATTATAAACCTTTATGCGTTTGGTTCGGCTTATGTGACGTTTGGCGTCTGAACCGGGCCTTACATTTTTATTTTAACATTCTGCCTCAAAACGTTTTACATTGACCAGATCTTTTCATGACGTTTTGGGTTGATACACCGGTTTTTCATTTGATAGACTCTCTATAAGACTGAAAACGTTTGTGTTCAACTTTGTGTTAGGGGGGCACTTTAATTGAAAAATTCTGGGTAAAATTGGGGATGTTTGCATTTTGGGATCCTGGAACCCTTGACCTATACCAGAGCTAGTTCAGCTGAATTTTGCTACCCTATACTAGAGTAAACTCCCAAAATGGCTGAACACCCCTATCCTAGAGTAGCTGTTTGAAACCCCAGTCTAGATAAAATCTTCAACCAACTGATCAGTTTCCTGCAACAAAAATGATACCCTAAAATGTATTCTAGACCCAAACGCCCTGATTTATATACCCTGATGGGCCTCAAAGAGTAAACTGCTTACTAAAAAACCATACCCTTTCACAGCGGCACATACCCAAATAGCCAAAATATATGGAGAAATCATCTTCTGAGCACCATTGCTTTTTCGCCGGGGTTCAACTACCGTTAAGTACCTGCAAAAGTACATAATAATACCGATCCTCTTGAGGCAACATTCTTTATAGCGCCTGTTAGTGTCCAAAATCAATTGGGGATCAAATTCTTACAAAACAATATCGCATAAAACATAAATGTTAAATAAAACTTTATTATAACAATTTCTATACATTAATATAACTATATTATTTTTATAAAAACTCAAATGGCAATTCTGAAGAAGCGAGTTCATCATAAGCTGAACACTGGTATTTGAGTCTATACTTCATGTAGATAACATTGGATCTATGCCACCAGTAATAAGCTAACACAATAAATAAGTGCCACCATTGATGGCTAGAGCCCACAAAATTTACTTTACCTGAAAAAATAACAATAAAAAAGAAAATCAACAAGAATGACAATTACAAGGTAAAATTCTTCATGAGACAAATTCATTACCTTTTCTACTACTACAGAGTAGAAAAGAGACCGAGAGATAAAAATAAAAACAAACCAAAACACAAACAAAGCAACTTTTGTTTGTATAAGTCCGCCTTGCACCTCACCCCACAAAGCAAATTTTGAGAAGAATTATGACATCACTTCAGTCTTATCTGATTTACTTCTTATAAGGTAGAGTGAATACTGATCAGAAATAAGTGGTGATTCTGGACTAAGCTATCATATTTGTAATCACCAGACTCCACTGGTTTATATCATGGTGGTAGAATACCAGACAAAACATCAGTCAAGTACTTCTCAAACTGATCCTTAACAATTCATGACTTAACAAAGGAAATCACTACTGCATCGGTGGTTTGGTTACTGGATTATAATAACCATAAAATTTTGTGAACTTTTGCTTTGAAATTCTTTAAGAATTACTGATCATGAACACTTGATACAGATGGCTGCTCAGTGTTTCACCTGTTCCCAAATCTAGACACCTTGAAGCTGCTCTCAAACAACCATCTGCGCTTTGGCCATTTTGAACACCCACTTTGATATTTATTTGACTGCTTTTCAACCTTCATGCTAGCTCCTATAATATTATATTACATCTGAAAATTATGCTATAAAATGCATTGGTTTTTATAGCATAATAGTTTGTATCTATAAATGGGTTCATACATTACCCTGTGAGAAACCATTTGCTTATTTGGACAAATAAATTAACTTTGAACAGGTAAAACCTGTATAGAAGCAAGTTAAGACTCTGGCACATTTGCTTACTCTTATAACTGCCACCTTAACATGAGCCTGCAGTGAATTTTTCTTCATCATGACTACTCCTACGCACTTACTTTTTTAATTTTAAAAATAATGTAGGTGAACCCAACTAGAGTTGAATTCCCAGGACCATATCCAATTTCAGAAAGAGAAATAAAATTTCATTGTTGCTCTTTTATGTTCTTCATTAAACGCAAAATTAGGCATTTTCACTTCACAGTCACATAAAAACGGTATTAAAGAAATGTATAAAAAAGTGTGGAAAGCACTATTGAACCTCTTGTTGTTTGACATTCTTGCTGCTGTCATGTTGTTGGATCCTAAAGTCCCTAAATGTTTCTTGCGAATCAAGAGAACGTGATGTTATTTGACGTTTTATGTAGGCATCATGTGGATGTGCATGCCTGACGGAAGAGCAAATGGTTGCTCACAGTGGTTTCTCTCCCTTTGTAAAGTAACGCCCAGCCTGGAGAAACCACTGCTCGCAGGGTATTCATACATTGACCATATAATTTACCACATGTACCTGGGAAGTATCGTTCAGGAATTTTGAAAGCATAAAATCCTAGGGCAAGTACTCCTAGCAAATACATCACAACTACCTTTGGAAGAAAGAGCTAAAAGACAGAAAAATATGATACCATTTAGCTAGGTCTATATTACAAGGAAAGTAACATAATAATAATTCATAACATTCAAGAATTTCATTGGCACACCATGTTTGAAGACCATTTAATACCAAAGCCAATTTACACAATTACAACTTCAAGTTTTGAATGCTTGGAGAGAGTATGATTAATTTTGGTTTCATATTCATTATAACCATGCAGCACTTTACTTTTTATTTCGATCAAGCTTCTTCTCAAATGCACCCATAAATTTCTACACCAGGGTTACAGGGTTGAAAACTAAAATTTTGGAGCACTCACCACCTGGGCGAGTGACATTCAAATTGCACTTACCTAAAGTAAAATACATTTATTTATCAGTTTTCACTCGCCCATTCTCCTCCATAAAAAATATAGGCCCCTCCTCAATACTTAGAAGTTCATGCACTCACCATGCCCTGAAACAGACCCTTATTATCTAATGTTTGGTTAGGTTATCTAATGTTGGTCAGGTTATCTAATATTTGGTCAATGTTTGGTCAGGTTCGATTTAGTAACCTTGCACGCTAGACGCGTGGCTCTGTGTAGCAAGCTTTTCGAGTCTATCACGTCATGCCCAGATCACAAATTTGTGCCTGTCTTACCTCCTAAGAGAGAACACAGACATAATCTAAGACAGTTCAGGGCTTATGCCATGCCCCATACACATACAAATCGTTTTAACAATACTTTTATTCCAAGTATGTGTACATAAATTTTTAGACTAGTTTGTACATAGTTACATATAGAGAGTTTTTCGCATTTTTATAGAAATGTTTTTTGTTATAATTTCAATTAGTATTTATTTTTTTGGAATTTATTTATTCTTAGTTTTAAGTAATTGTAACGCAATTGAGTCTACGGACTGCCATGTTCGATATTTTAATAAACTATCTCTATCTATCTAAAAAGGAAACAGCAACAAATTTACCCCAAGCAAAACGTCTTAAACACTAAAAAAAGGAAAGAGCCTTTTTGGCATGTTTTGCGACTCCATGGATGAGGATGATAAGGCATATTTAATGACAAGTGGTATTACTTTGTACAAGTTCATCATTCAAGTAACAATCTGAGTTTTTAGGCATTTTTTTTGGGTGGGGGGGTCTCAACTCTAAACTAGGGTCTCTGTGTCTTGGTGAGCTTGAATTGTGCAACCAATTATTGCCAGCTCTTGCAAAGAACAGTTAACCATTTTTCAATTAAATTTACTAATTATATACAATAAGTTTTACTGTAATTAGGGCTTATGTATCACATACTCTGACAGTGAAGCTATTCCATCCCCCAAGAAGCAGAGCCCAGTGAAGTGATGGCCCAATACCATATGCAACCAAGCCACAGAAGAGCAGCAGTCGCCTTGAAGCCCAGCGAGATGTCAGAAATGAAGGATGAAATTGAAAAGCTAGTGAAATAACAGTTAGGAGAACTACACCAATCAGGTAAATGCCTTGCCAAGTCTAGAAACGAAAAATATCAATTAATAAATAAGTAAAGTTTTCTATTACTAATTACATTATGGCTATACACAACCTTCTGAACTGATAAACTAAACAGTGAGCGTTGACGTTTCTGTAGCGAATGTGATCCGCAACAACCCTATTCTCAGAGTTCTCTTTCTAAACAACTGAACTCAAACTTGTTAATACTGAAGGATGAACGCGTCACTCAAGGAAGGCTTCACAACGAAACCAATTGCTCCTTGCCATCACTGAGAGTAAATAAATGAATCAAAAGGACCTACTCCAATTCTACCCTTCATGTCTGTCTGCATAAATTTCCCACTCTTATTAAAATAAGAGGCACATTTTGCAGCTAAGCACTTTTGACTTGGTACAGACTCACTTGTTCAGTTGGCAAAGCCCTTTAGGAGCTGGAAATAGCTTTGCATAAAGTCCCACATGGATTAATAATTCTTGGTATATGCTGAGCCATTACCATTCATAAAATTCTATGTCATAAAGTGATAAGTGTCTCTGTTACAGATCAGAATAAAAATCAGGTTAACTTTTTTAAACCTAGGTTGATTCTAAATTTCCCTTGTCTTGTAGACCTAATTCATCAATAATTAGGACTTGGTAGAGAACGAAAATATTGAAATCCAACCTACTTTAAGAAATTTTAACCTGAATTTTATTTTGACCTGCACCATCATTCTAGATACCTACCACATGACAATAGAAAGCATAATAGACGGCGGGTATATAGCAAGCACACAGACCAAGAGAAATACCAGCCAAATCTAGTGACAGCCACAGGTGAAAAACCTTTTCCGAGTGACAACAAAATAAGTGATAACAGGCTGAGAAGAACATAGAAATCTAAAAAAGAAAAGCAACAGGTAATTAAGGGTATGCTTGAATAGAATGAATACTATTTATTCAAACCATACCTATTCTTTTTTCTGTGACTGGGGGAAGGGAGGGAGTATTATTCCTTCCCCACATCAGAATATTGAAGCTACCGAAATGAAATTTACTGGGTTTGTAGTATAACAAAAAATCTATTTTTCTCCTTATGATTCAGTGATGTCACATGGCACTTGTAGTTGGTTAACCTTTCACAGCAGTTTTAGGTATAAGCTGAGAAAACAGCTAACATTTTGCAACACCACCAACAGTTTCCCTGTAAGACGATGTCTAAGGAACGAGCACAGAAATTCCATACTGAAGACTTGTCACTTGGAAATGACCCTTCACCTGTGATGGAATTTCTGTGCATCATCCTTAGACATCATTTCCAGGGAAACCATTATTATTGGTGGTGTCATGAAAATGTTGGCTTTTTTCTCAGGTTATTTTAAGGAGTACATGAAATTTATCTTACCATGAAACCACTGAGTAATAAGGTCAGCACAACATGATCAGAGAAGGTGCCATTGTTTTCTGGAATTCTAACCAAGTTGTCAGCAAGAAGAAGATAAAAGAAGAAGACAAATCCAACCAAATGGGACCAGATGTTGATAGATTCATTGGACAACACAAACAGACTGAAAGAAAGACAAAAACAAATTTTTCAAAATTACAATAACCACTAAGATGCTAGCTAGTTTTTTTGTCTACAACAGTTACATGACTGAATTAAAAATTTACCCATGTGCTGGGAATCTGAACTGTGATGTAAGGTTAATTAGTGTAGGATAGACTCGAGATGGTATTATTTTCCGGCATCTGGTCTGCAAATTTCAGCTGAAAAAAAGTGGTATTTGACCAAGTGTGGCCCTGTTACTGTGTTATGAAAGTTTTAACACTCTGCACTGGTGCTATGTAACAAAGATTGACAACTAACTAGTGTTAGACTTGCCCTTGCCCCAGGGCTGTGATGCTGAGCCTCTGATCAGTTCCACACAATGAAAAGATGAATTTTCAAACCTGTTCCAGGCAAATTTTGTCAAAGGTGACCTACACTTGACCATGAATAGTATAGTTTAAGGGGGAAATGACTTGTTAGAGTTGGAGTCATAAAACCTGCTGATTGGAACATTTTCATTAAAGGGCCTGTGACACGCTCCTGTGCATGTGAGGCATCTTGATTTCTGGTCTTGCGAACCTGTTTTAAAGATTGGCTTTTGGTGAAAAAATACTCTTCCATCGACCCTGAGATGCCTGAGAAAGCTGATACAACAGTATTCAAGAGCTATTTGGTCCATTTTGGAAGTTTTAAAGGCCATATTTTGTATTCTTGTGCAAGCATTGTTGAGAAAATTCGAGGTCATAGAGGAAAAGTGCACAAAGGCATATTATTAATTTGTTGTCAGTGTTCTAACAAACGGATCAAATGTGGTGTTTAAAGAGGTCACCTGGCTTTCACTTCTGTCTATGAAGTTCTGTAGCGAACGATCTACCATTTTCGGTTAGGTTTTAAACATTAAATATGTAAAGAATGTTTAAAAGGGTTTCCTCGATACAGCCGTGGCTAAAAATGGGATGCAACAGCAAGTGACGCTGATCTGCGACATGACTTTCGATTGTCTGCAATAATTTACTCTCTCGAGTGCCTGGAATCAGAAGGAGAAAACCAAGCAATCTTTTATTGTACAGGAAGTTGTGTGAGGTTTGAGGAAAGAATCCACCGAACATGAAATGTTTTAACAGGCTGGTTGACGCATTCGATTTATTACTCCTATCCGTAGTTGTATACCAGAAAGTACTGACAACAGGCCATGCGATCTTTACGGATGTAGTTCACTGTACTCGCAATGTTCCTTGCATCTTTGCTGTACGAGCGTAAATGTTTAAGAACTGATCTTCTAAAAATAAATTGTTGCCTTAATGTTCTGTTTATTATCTGGTTTCCTTATGATTTGAACTCGGTAACGTCTGAGTTACAGTGTGGTTCATGCAGAGCGTTCATCCTGCTAGCCGAACGCATGGCTTATTTATCATAGTGTGCATTAATTAGCTCGCATTTTAACGAAAATGTTTTGCCTTATTCGTTACTGGTTGTTTTGGTCACTGGTCAGGGGCAATTTTCAGGTATTTCTAAGTTTATATAGTGCAAACAGAGTGATCAGCAAGGTTTGTTTACAAATTATTTTCGTTTGCGGATCGGAGACTGGTTTGCAAGCGTGGGTACGTAAAATACACGTAGGTAAATATTTGTTTCAAAGCAGGACAGGGTTGTTAATCTTATTCTTATTGGCTGCGAGATGTATCTGAGAAATACTAGTGAATAAATATAAATTATGGTGATATATAAAATGCAACAAAAACGTCTGGAAGTCTCCTGCTTCGCAAACAACTAATTTTGAATTATGTAAATTTCCTTGCATGCATCTTACTAGCTTCCAATTGGATTAAAAACAATCAGGTACTGTCACAGCTCACACATGCGTACTATCGTGACACAGTCCCTTTAAGCGCATGGAAGGCCAGATCCTGGTCCATCTGGGGTGGTGGTGGTCGTAGGTGGGGACTCAAACATTTTTGTCTCTAATAAGCCAGAGTCCAGTTTTTGCATAAATCTGCTGGTCCCACTGCGGATATTCTAAGCTTTCCGACTAAAAAAATGACAAACGCTCGGGGAGGGGAAACAAACACGCTACCTGATAACATAAGAACTTTTGAATCTCTCATTGCTTTTAAGCGCACTATTCATAATATTATGCATCAGTCAATTCCAGCTGTGCCCAGGTCCCCCGGACTACTGCGGGGCATTTGCCTGCCTCGTCAGTCCCGGGGGTGGGGCATTTGAAAATTTTGTGCTGCCCGGGGGCCGGGCATTTGCCAACCCTGGGGCCAACCCCAAGGTCTTGACACGCACGTGGTTTCCTATCAGAATATAACTGCTGGGCGCAGCTGGAATTGACTGATGTATTACTGTGTAGAGTTTTTTTCAAAGATGAGACTAATAATATGCGCATTCGTAGCAATTTTATACTTTCATACTTTATCAATTTCCGAGTTTAAATAAAGTTTTCTGTATGTATGTATGCTATAAAAATTAATCAATCATAAGTCCTTTCATGATCAATCCCTTCTTGAATACATGATCTTACCTTTTAAAACATAACCTGATGGATAAGAAGGCTCTGTATCCAGATGTCACGTAAGGATTTCCTCGAAGGAAATATGGTATGTCGTGGTAATTGTACAGTCTCACAGTCTTCGATTCAATATGTGATTTCAAAAACGGACTTGCATCGACTGTAAAACCTCTCTCACCCAAGTCCATCGCAATACTTCACAAATCATGCATGCTATGTCACACTAGTAGCTCCAAAGGTCAATCGAACATGTTCCGCTACGGGAATTTAATTGAATTGTAACATTAAATTGATTTTAGGGCCATAAAAAGATATTTCCTCGACCAAAAATACAAAAAGACACCAGTTACTGTCCTTTGTTGTCAGGCGACTTCCCATTTTCCCATGACTGATTTCGAACCGATTTTTGCCAAATTTGGTCATGTTGTCCAAATTTAGATGAGAAACTGAGCGGAAATAAAACGGCTTGCTCGTTCTGTTTAGAATCGCATCGGGAGTAGCCTCCCACGCAGACTAGGGGGAGGGTGCAGGGGGTGCGCACCCCCCCCCCCCGCTGAGATGACCTGCGGTTTTCTAATACAACTGGTATTCTGCCCAAAAAAAACTATGTGGTTTATTGGTGTTGAAGTAGAGCTGATCCAGAGACGAGTGCACCCCCTCCTAAAAAAAATCCTGGATCCGCCCCTGGGATATCCTGTTCTTTAGGGTTCGTCATGCGTTCCTGCCCCACTAGTGGGGCAGGAACGCGTGACGAACCCCTAAGAACGTCTGCGCGGGGGGCTACTTCGGAAGCGGACGTTCCTGTGAAATACGGAAATACGCTGGTTGTAAGAGTTAGTATTTAGCCCATTGTCCACACCGTGGAAAATGACCACGGTTAGAGAGAGATACCTGAGGAATTTGCCTCATCCAAATCTAAACGACGCTCTTAAATCCAACACAGACAGCACTATTAAACTTCTAAAAACAGGTAGGACTCTATGAGCTGTGAAAAGTGAACTATGAACTCCAGTTATAAGCTTACTTGATCTGAAATTTTTTGCAACTGTTGTGTTACATTTAGATCATCATCATCATCATCATCATCGTGACTTAATTAAAGTGTCAAAAAATATGGTACTTAGCCGAGGGTCAAAACCCTCTACTACTTGGGGACACTGAAATAAGACTAATTTCCGGGTAATTTTAAACTAACAACTCTCAAATCCTAAAAAAAGCTAGCCTAGATAAACATACTATAAAATTATACAGCAATTTACAATAAAATGATATGGTTATTTACAATAAGATAATACAGTTATTCACATTCACTAGAATGTTCAATAAAAGAGAAAATGGTAATAACAAATAAATAAATAAAGCAATTAGGTCCGTTTGTGTGTCAGTTGCTACATAATACGCAGTTCTCACAATCAGATTTTAACTTAAGCGAAAGATTGACAAGACGAATCTGTCGTTTAAATGATTGTAGTGATGGTAAATTTCAAAGATTGCTAGGCAGGCTATTTTACAATTTTGGTCATAGATTAAGATATCTCAATATCTCAAACATGCTATAATACTGTTGAAGCCTCTCTTCATACAGTGTAGTTAATTTAACCTTGTTCAGCAGCTTCTCATATGTGGATTGACCATCCCTAAAGACTGCGCGCAAACCCCCCGGCCTCTCCAGAGTACGTTCGAGTATTCTCTTATCACTTGCTTGGCAGAAATGCCAAGTGAGATGGCAGTAGGTTAATGGTAAGGAAGTATTGCAGCCTTGAAAAGTTGTATTTTCGCAGCCGTGGGCACAAAATTTTTTAATCTTATCAGTACGCCAATCCTCTGACTCGCTTTTTTACACATGATATTTATGTGTTCACTAAAATTAACCTTATTATCGATGGTCACACCTATAATAACTTAAAACTATTCAGGCACTCAACATCAGTTCCTTGAACCCACCTACGCCAAACTCATTGCCTACTTGTTTATTAGTGATTAGCATAGTATGGTATTTGGAAAGGCTCCCCTTGAGTAAATTAGATTTATACCATATTGAGGCTTTTGTGGTATTGGCATTAAGATTATGATTCACTGTAGACACATTTTCATTGATCTCATAAAGCTGATGATCATCAGCGTACATGCTTAGGTTCTGATCAATTTCATAAGCTAAATCATTTTGGAAAACGTTCAACAATAATGGTCCCAACATTGAACCTTGGGGACAGCCACGGTTAATTCTTCTCCAAGAACTTTTTTGAGATGCCAGCTTCACTCTGTTATAATGGTCACATAATTAAGTAGCTACGCAACAGTCTGATTAGGCTTTCTTGGAAACCATAAGCTCTGAGTTTACTCAGCAACAGAGCTGGATGCATGGAGTCAAAGGCATTACATTTACATAGCATGGATGTGAATTGAAAACAGTTTCTTTTCTATAGTTGGGCTTAAGTTGTGTATAAAACTTTTGGCGACACATGAAATACATAGCATGTACTTGTATTTAGGGGTGCAGTATAAATTACTATTTATGGTGAATAAATTGAAGCATACGATATAAGTGATTTTTAATGACTGGACATTTCAATCTGATATTGACCTGCTAGACTGCGAGCAGCCCCTCTTCAGTCAGTCGAGTCTAAGATCGGCAGGACTGGCTCCCTTCGCTTGATTTCCTTGCTCGCGTGACCATCCTGAGGGACTGCTCGCAGTCTAGGCCTGCTTGCACCAAAGTTACAGCAGTTACCACTAGCACACGCCCTAAAAGGGTTTTTTCTTCGGTTCAAACCTGCATTTTGGTGGACGTCAATCAACAGTTATCATGGTTTTTAACACATTGGTCTAGAGAAGATTCTTTCCCCATTTCTCGAGCACTTGGAAGAGCATGTCAGCATTTGAGCCATTTTTGCAATACCTTGCTACAGGATCTGACACAGCTTCATGTCAAGATTACGAGGAGTACGAAGTTGTTGAGTTTTTGTTGGAGGAAATTCAAATTATCGACTTATTTACGCACTTAAGTAACAACCATATAGGTTTTCTCAATACTCGCTTGCAACTCCTCTGAGTTCTTGCTAGTTCTGGATTCTATTCTGTGACATATAAAGAATGATAAGTGGATCTGCAGGTTTCAAAATTTGTTTTCAAAAACAGCCTCCATTTAGGGGAAACTTTTTTCTTTTGTTGGTGTGATATCTTTAGTTTCTTTGAATTCATACTCCTTGGTAATTCATCCACAGCGCCTGCATTTTCATTCAATCAAATAAATAAACTACCTGAAAACCTTTACTTTACTATCGGGACTGTTTCGGCTATTTCACCGAGCTTGCAGTGACCTCGTTGTTTTAACAACACAATCCTTTATCATAATGAAGCAATTAAAAACGCTGTCGTCATTCAAAATAATTCTTTAAGTTTTCGCCCTTCATTCAGCAATGAGGGAACCTTCTCTGTCACAGCGCGTGAGCAAACCAGGGAAACATTTGATTGACGTCCACGAAAACTCAGGTTTCAACAGAGAGGAAAAACCCTTCTAGGGCGCGTGTTAGTGGTTACCACTGTAAGCCTGTATCCCTTAATTAGTATTTCCAATACCTCTGTTAATATCATGTAGGATGCATGTTAATAAAGACAGGTGTTTATAGGTAAAGAAATGGGTAACAATATTGTATAATATTTATACATCAATGATTTATAATTATTTTTGTATTACAGTAACTACACTGTTGTAGATAAATGAGATTTCTAATGTGTAGTCCTTGACTGACAAGCCAGTCTGTGACAAACTCGTGATCCTCTCCCATAACCTGCATGTATATATATATATTATATATGCAACGTAACCTCCATTTCTGTGAACCATGAGCAGGCCAGAGGCCTGCGAGTAGCTCCGAGATGGGCAAACACATATCCCCAGTCCTAACATGTCATATGCAGTTGCCCAGGGGAATAGGCACAGTTGGAATTGACAGACTCGCTGGACCTAAGTAAAGTTTAGTTAATTGGTGACTGTATTAATGGCTGCTATATGCATACAATGCACATTTATGTAGTAATTAACGAAAGCTGTGTGAAAAGAGGAACGATTGTCTCTGCTCTCTAATTTTTACTTATCTACATGTACCACTGCAAAAATAAGAATGTAAACACAAACTGGACCCCAAAATGGGTTAAACTGCAGCTGCAAAACCACCAGGTTTAACAGACCTTCTGAAAACTGTTATTAGTAGAGTAAAGACTGTTCTACAAGAAGAGAACCGACAAGGTTGAAAGTATAGATCAAGACTGATTTTTTCAAAATGGGCCTTTGTTAATGTGCATACAGTTGTGTATGCACAGAGCTAGTGTATGTAAAGATTAGTAGCTTCCTAAATGTTATAATAATTGTCAATTTTCTTAACATTTTTCTCCCCAGTCCTGATCTGTACATGTTGGCTGATTAAGTAATTATAATTTGTGTGGTGGCTTCTTTGTCTGTTCTAGTTGGTGATTTTGCTCTCAAAGTTGCAACTGTGAAAGAGAAGTTAGGAAGTCAGCTTCTCTCTGTTGTAGAGTCATTCAGAAAGAAGAATACAGAGATAAAGAGAGACAGGTAACCACAAACAAAAGATTCAAGACAGTAATATGGCCAGCTCCACGGTAGAGGCTGCTCCAATGTCTGGGAAATTCTGGTAATCGGGATGAGAGTTCCCATGCAGCAAGCATCATACTCATGATAATAAAGTGGTAAAGAGAAGGAAGCGGAGAGGGGAGTGAAAAGCTTTTACCTAGTGCTTTGATTGGTACATGCTCAGTTTTCTTGCTAAAATCTAACGTCGATGGAATGCTAGTACCTGCACATATCACGACTTTTAATAGGCACTGTTTACCCCAAAAGTAGACATGCTATGTTGTTAACTCCATTAAATTTAATTACCTGCATTGTTTGTATGAAGCAATTATTGGTCTGAGAGGATTGAGTTGAGTATGATATGAAGAATTATACTGATGGAGAAGGGATCTTTTTATTCTGGCAGTTACAAGTATTCTTCAAAGCAGTATGTCATTTGTTGAGTGGCTCTTAAGTCTATATTCTTGCTATGTTTTGAGACAGTAGTTTGTATTTATATTTATTTATTGATTATATATTTATGAAATGTTCCACCATTTTCTCCAGCCCTAACTACTACCAAACAGCTAAGCCACCATGCTATCCATTCCTCTTTCCATCAATATTGATACAATTGCATCAATATTATCCTTAATGTTTTGATATCAGCAGATAT